TTTATATAGTTCCCTCGGTGTCGATCGTTGGAACTTGGAGAGCAAAATCGTTGTAGCACAGTGGGTTTCTCGACGTGACGCACGACCCCCTTACAGGCGCCAGCCTGCTGGAAGAAGAGGAATAGGAAGAAGAAGAAGACGACGACGAAGAAGAAGAAGAAGAAGAAGAAGAGAAGGCGTTCCGACGAAACGGAGCGCGGTGTCGGAGCCAGATAAGATCTCCGAAACGAGGATCGGTAATATTTTACAAAGTCATCGAAGTTGCTCGCTAACTTCGGCATAAATTACAATCTCTCTCTCTCTCTCTCTCTCTCTCGCCCCCTCTTCGCGCTCATCCCTTTCGCGAGATCCCTCCTCGACACTATGGGAAGATGGGAAATTGCACGAGGAGCCCTCTCTGTTCCGCATCGAGTGTTAAACAAACACTTAGCATCGTTAATAACATAGGACAACGGTCCACGAGCTAATAAATTTGTCCAACCAATATAAAACTATCGAGAACTCTTGAGAATTGATAAATATGCGTATCCTACGTAAACGGATAAACCACTTTCGAAATGGGTAAATATATTTGTGGTAAATAACCCCGCTTTCTTTAGCGTTCAACGAAAGGGACATATTAGGAGAAATCAATTTGTCGAGTTGCTTTCGAGTAGCTTGGATATATAGAAACGGAAAAAGAAGCGATTCGTTTTGTCGAAAACGTCCTCCCTCTCTCTTTCTCTTCATTTTTATATTCGATGTAAAATTAAAAAAGTTTTTAAAGGAAAATTCTCGAAGATTTTATATCGGAAAAATTGAATTTTTCCCGATTACATTGGGTTCGTTGATTGATTACGTCTATGCTTGTATTAGTTTAGGACAGATTTCGAATAAGTTGTTAAAAATTACGCAAATCTACGAGTCATCTACGAATGAAATCCCTTATCCGTGAGATTAACATTTACGACAAATTACGATATCGTTGTTTATTATTAGTGATAAACGGACAAAGCGATCATCGAAGTCGGTTACTTAACATTTTGCTGGAAAAAAATAAAAAAAAAAAAAAGAAAAATGAAACGAAAGCCAAAGTCTGGACCATGACACGAATATATTTTTCACTATGAAGTTTGTCAGGGACTTGTTCATAAATCATATCCGAAAAAATATTTGCAGTGGTGTGCGACACGCGTTAGCAAAATATCATATATGGCAGCGATGAATGATGGTTTCGATATGCCTGACAAATTAATTCGATGTCTTCGACGCGTAATTTCGAAGATTTTAACGTTTCTTCGATTTTTACGTGTTGGAAGATCGTTCGGCCATGAGTAAATCGCAAAATATTAAAAAAAAAAAAAAAAACCTTATGAATTATTACAGCTTGTATTATTAATCGAACGAATCATCGCGCGTGTGAACGTCTTTGAAATAAAAATTTGCATCGTAAATATTGACGGAGATATAATACCGAGATATTAAACGTTACAAAATTATTTACAAGAAAATAAAATATTAATTTACATCGATAAAATATATGCTATATACAATAAACTTGGTAATTGTAATTTATTATATTGCGCGTAATATAAATTACAAGAGAAAAATAAAAAGAAGAAAATAATGGAAAATAGTAAAATGCGGCGAATCGTCACGTCACGATGTATAAAAATTTCAAAATATACGAAATTTCGATTCATATTTTCGAAGAAGAGGCTTTTACCTCCGTGAAAACAACGAGGGTGGTTAGCCCGAACGTAACCGAGAAGTTAACGTGATAATCATCTGAATGTTGAAGATTTTCAGGGGCTGAAATACAGATATCACCCACGAAGACAGCCTATCCATTCTCGGTTGGATTCTAACCTGAACTTCAGTCAGAAATTAATATTCTGTTTCTACGTGCAGAATTTGCCTACTGTGATAGGACGATCTCAAGGGAAAGCCTCAGGTATTCGGGTGAACTGTATGGAATGGTAAGAATGAAGGAATACTATACGGTCCGATACGCTTATCTTATTCTTCGATTTCCCACGCTTAAATCATTCCATCTTTTATGCCAAAGGAAAAAATTCTCTAAATTTATGGATATTCTGTATCGCTGTTAATCTACGATATATATTTAATAAACAATTTTGAAATAATAATACAAACAAAAACGAACCTTGAATATTTATAACATATGAAACGTAATAAATTATTTAAATATTTTCATAATAATTTTCACAGTGATGGATTAAAGTAAGAATTGTTATTAAAATTTTTATAAATATCACTTTCTCGTTATTATATTCATATTTCATTTCTCGCTATAATATTATTACGATAATATACCGAATGAAAGTAGATCCATGTAATAAATATCTACGTATACAAATATACGTACACCCGGTTTATGAAATACAGACAAGAGAACTTTTCGAGCGATAAACATCGGCATGAGCGATGAAAACATTTTACATATGATATTTTTCTTTGCTGACAAACTGCAAGTAACACGCTTATAACCATTTATGCGTCTATCGTTCCATCTTTCGCTCATTTATCTCTCGCGCTGCATCTTTTCTCACGATAAATAAAATGAAAGTTACAAGATTTAAATTTTTATTGGAAATTTAGTTCGAAAATTGTCGACTCCATAAACGGTATCTTTTATACGTATAAACGATAGAAATCTATGCGATCGAACAAGATGCGAGAAGTAGTAGCACTAGTTGCCTATATCGAATTAGGGAACGAAAATGATTAACGTTGAACGTAGAACGAGCGCAATTTCAAAAAATAAGGAATAAAATGCGAGGAGCAAAGAGAAGATTGGATTAAGCATAACGCGGAGAAACGATACATGCTCGTATATATAAGTTGGCGATTCCTCGGCAAATTACACGGCGTACGAAATTCAATCCAAAATTAAAATCGACTTTAAAGCGCATCTTTTACAATGTATATGTGACTAGGGGGTATCGGCTTAAATTCATCGCGTCCGGTGTCCGAATAAGAAGAGAAAGAGAAACGTAGAAAGCGTAGTGCGTGTCGGCGAAGACGGTATCACGTTTCGTGTGAGCCGATATTTGTTACACGTTCTTATAGAAGATGAAGAAGCGGTCCGTCACGCGGTGGAAAGGCGCAGAGGCGGTGGCACGGGCTCGGGCACGAGCAGAGGAGGAGGAGGAGGAGGAGAAGAGCGCGCGGGCCACGAGCACAGGCATTTCAGGGCCCTATTAACGAGTGGGCCCCCCGCGGCCGACGCAACGGGCCCAATCAACCCAACTCCAATTCCTGGCCCTCGCTTCGACTTGTTTTATGTAATGCCCGCGACGCCAGAATCAATTAGTCGGGGTACCCTCCTATTTTGCGTATGCATGCGCCTATATGCATAGCGGCCAATCCACCCGAAAAGGTTCCCAACTTATTTGCAACTGTCCAAGAGAAGCCGATAGACGAGAAAAACCGGTTCGCGACAGACGCGTAGAGACGGAAATTAAACGACTCGAAACAAACCGGGGATACCCCTCCGCCGATCTATCTATACCTACGTATCGAATCGTCCGTTTTTACCATCGAAATCTATCCTTTATCCGATATCGCATATCTCGAGTGAACGCGAGATTCAAAATATATATATTTCTTTTTCTTAACATACATAATATATATATATCTTCACTCGTTCAAGTTTTATTCTATAACGTATTACGAATCTATATTTTAAGTATAAAGATTTAATCTGAAAAGGAAAAGAAAGGAGAAAGAGAGAGAGAGAAATAGTAACTGGAAAAATGAAGAAAAAAAATGTCACACTGATTCACATAGATATATCCTCAAAATGGAAGAAAGTTGGGTGAATGCCGCTCTATCGCAGCACGAGTACGATACATCACACAGCGGCAACCAGCATGGGAGCGTACGATCGCACTTTGTTCAGCTACTAGGCAAACAATCACGAGCCGAGCTATTCACGATCCCAAAAGCATTGCCGTGCGTATCGGACGAAAGTGCATACATCAAGCTTGTTTATATCTACGTTGGAGTCAAAACATGCAACAATACAGCAATTTGGCTTTGACCGATACGAGATCTCACAGAGATTCCTTTCCCATCTTACCGTTACCGAATTCCGACCATCCACCAATAAACCTTCCTCGTTCCCAATGCCATACCAATGATAGAGATTCGATTTTTACCTCGTCAAACATCGCGTTACGTATACGTCATTTCTATCTGTTATGTCTTACGATATAATAAATTTCGATTTCAATTTTAATTATTTGAAAGAAATTTTCTTATAATTATTTCTTGTAATATATTATAATATATTAAATTAACGAGATAACTACTCTCGTCCATCTTTCTTTCTTATTCCGTTATTTTTATAACGCATAAAAATTGTTTCTATACCATTGGCACGATTTCATGGTGATTCCGTATCTCGGAATGCGTATGTATACCGGCATTGTATCCTCTATATTTCTGGAATTCGATAAGATCTTATCTTATGATCCCCGCGAAGAAGATCTTTGATTTAATACGAAAGAAAGAAGAGAAAAATAATAGTGACGCGATTCCGAGAATACTAACCATACAACAAGATCGTAAAAACTTTGCAAATCATTTTCTAAACTTATTTTTGGATTAAATACAATGGATTAAAATTAAATTGAAATTTTTATTTTTTGAAACAAAATCAAAAAAACAAAATCTTAAATCTACAATTCTATTCAATTTATCTTTAAGTCTTTGTACAAATTAAATAATTATATTTATTTTAAACAGTTAATATTAATGCTAATAAATCGATAAAAGATATCTTAAATCATTAGACGTATATAAATCGAATCTCAAAAAATATTTTAATAAAAAAAAATTTTCAAAATTGCAATAATTTTATTACATTTTCTAAAATGTTATTAATTCATAAACTTGAGGGAACAACAATTTCTTATATAAAAAATAAACTCGAGAAAACTGTATATCTTACATCCAATTTTAAATGTATTATATCGTTTCGTTACAAGACTCACCTCTTTCAATGGCACTTTGAACGGTAGAATTTTTGTACCACTGATCACTGTACCATAAGGTTTATATTCCAACCACCTAATAAGATAGAAATAAAAAATAATAATGAATGAAAATATAAAAAAAGACTGTAATACGGTATAATCCAATTATCATGTTGAGCCGAAAATTTGAGGGATTAGGAAGATCCTAAATATAAAATTTTAACTGTAGATATTTATTAGTTTCTGAAAAATTAATGAAAATCTTTATATTGATTATTACATTGCTATACATTGAATACTATCTATACGTATACGTCCATGGAATGTGCGTCAATATACTTATCTGCTATTCTACAAAAACATTGTAATGGCAAATACCTAAAATATATAATTATGAAGATGATATCGCTGAATTATTATATTATTAAATTTGCTCATCGTAATTTCGATCATCCAAGGTTTTATATTTTATTTTCGCATTCGGCGGGTTCGAAGAAAATTCTTTATAGATAGATACTAAAGTATAGTAATATTAATTCACTCGTTATACATTTTGAATGACGATTGCCACGATGTGTTTATAGAAACAGTAGATAAACGGTGGTCGCATATTGATGCATACACAGTCACGAACGCATAGATTAGAAAGATTATACGCATAGATTATTCAATGTTTAATATCGAAAAATTTTTATTAATTATTATCTCAAAAATTAATAAATATTGCGGTTAAAATTTTATATTTCGAATCCTTTTTTCAATCTTTTCAAAATTTCAATTTAGTACGATAATTGGGTCATATCAAATTTATTTATAAAAAATATACATTACATGAAATATAATATGTATATACGATGCATGCACACGCATGAAAATATGCATGTATACATATACGCATATCTATACACGTGATGCAACAGGTGATGTTAATGAAAAAACGAATTCCACCATGTAAACATTTATTTGAATTCGTTTCTGGTAAAGTTAAATAACGTACGAAATAATTTAATATTTATAATATTTTCAAAGTTTTATTTTATAAAAAATAATGAAAAATAATATGCATAAGCAAAGTTAAATAATATTTGACATCTATTTCTATATTCAAAGAAAAAAGCACCATCTGTGAAATACGATATAAATAAAGAATAATGCGTTTCTCAACCGATAAGTTAGCCGCCATACAAACCGCGTTAGGAAATACATTCAGAAATATTAAATATTTATCATTAATTATGATTACATGATACAAAAACCTTAATGTCTAAAATAATCTTTTAATCTATGATTAAACAGATTTCTTATATTAATATATAGTTTAGAAAAGAGATATTAAAAACAATGAGATATGTCGGCATAACATAACCTCTATACAATGTGACCTCCGATTAGGACCAGTGAACAAGTAGTTTTAAATATTTCAACGAGCTTAATGAAGTGATAAAAAATGAACAATGAATAATACTTGCCTTTCAGGTATAGATTTCGGCATATTCGTCGTTTATTTAAATATTATAATGCGAAATTAAAAGCACAACACCGAAACGCAATATCACTAACACAGTACACACACGCAGCAGACAAATGTAGTCGATAGCACTCACGACGCAGAACGATCGATCGATCTCTCGATTTTCGCGCGCGCAACATTGTTACATGAATAATTAATTTAGGATAAATTATTTTTTGATTGCTTTATATATTTTTATTCATATAATATATATAATATATATATATATTATATATATATAATATATATAACATTGAAATATATAAATGAAATTAAATAAAATACTTACTTTAAATTTCTTTTTAATTATTATATATATATATATATATATAAAGTGTATATGTAAAGTGTAGGTTAAATTTTTCAATAAACTTTCCAATAATTATTGGTGTCTGTAATTTTCAATAAAATATTTAATTATATATAATAATATATTTAACTTACATGATATTAATGAGAAATATTATTCATTTTATGATAATCATTTTATAAATATAACTATGATATGACTGTGGGCAAGCAAAAAAGGAAAAAGTTTTTACAAAGAAAAATTTTATTAACTTGTTGGACACTGTATGTCACCATCTTTTTTTGCTTTTAATTGTAATATTTCGTTCAACACCTTTCTTTCTAATTCCAGAAGTGCAGGAGGTTTCTTATACTACAAAAAGATAAATATAAGATTTATGTAAAAGTAATGAAAATATAAATATTTGACATACCGTAATAATTAGTGTACTGTATTGATGTGTAAAAGTTATTCTATTCTGTTCTGGTTTTAATCCAGCACGTTCTAAATCTGGAATTCTTATCTTCTTAAAATATTTTTTATTTGTAGTACGAATAGTTATCGTTCCATCATCTTCTGCAGTTACAGAATATACATTTTGCGGATATGGCAAATTTCTTATTCGCCATTCAAGTGAAGTCTTTGTAACTCTTCTTGTAATAAATGGCTATTACAAAAATATAATATATGCATATTAATTATTATTAATTATATTTTGTTTAAAAAAATTAGAAAATATAATATATATATATATATATATATATATCAAATATAAAATATATAATATAATTTTACAAAACAAACTTCACATACAGCACTTGAACTTTCTTGAATTCCACAAATATCAATATTGTTTTGTTTGGGTTCAGGATCTCCAATTTCAACATTCCAACCTATATCTTGACCAAGTTTACCTTTTTCTTTCCATGCTCTTCGTATTAACACATTAGTTTCCAAATGATATTCTTCTACCATTTCTCTACCATCTTCCATTAAAAAATGAACTTTTCTTTTTCCTAATAACAGAAAAAAAATATTAATCATAATTAAATATTTATAATATGTTTTAATAATAGTTTTATATAACAAAAACTATCGGATATTAACAATTATCACAATTATATTTTAATTTTAAAAAATATAATATACATTAAAATAATTAAATATAATATACATTAAAATAATATACATTAAAATACATTTTATTAATTAACAAGACAAATGAAAATATATAATTATATGTAAATGTAATTACATTATGATACCATATATTTATATTAATAATTCTATAAAGTCAAATATTACACATTTAATATTGAATGATATATGCATATATGTGTATAATAATTTAATTATGAAAAAAGAAATAATTTATAACACTGACAATGATAAATATAAAAATACAGTTTTAATAAAAAATAAGTAATAATTACATATTGATCAAACATTTTTAAGGTTAAGCTTTATATCGTAAAGTTTTCAGTTCTAAGTGAATTTTAAAATAGCTTTCGTTAAAAAAAATTCAATAGTTTGAAATATATTATACATTAAAATATATTTTCGTAAATACCTTACCGTCTTGAATTATTGCCGTTTTCGTAGCATTTTGAATAAAATTCAACCATTCTTCAGGCGCCATGGATAAATACTTTATTAGTTTCTTAGCAACTAATTCTAAGTACTTATACATGTATTTATAGTTGTCATAACAACGATTATTATTATTACTAATTATTATTTATAATATTATATTGAAAACATTATTACATAATAATTTACTTAATTAAATTATATTAATCAATTATGTTTCTTTTTAGTAGTTATTAAATTTTTATCAAAAATTTAATAAGTTTCAAATATCTTATATTTTTCATAATATACATATGTAATATACATTTATAATATATGTATATAGTTATTAGTTAATTAAATTATTGATAATTAAATTTCATAAAATGTATGAAATCTTAAAAATTTTAATAATATTTTATTAATTCTATTACATTTTTACAAATGTCATTGCATATTTTATAAAATAATATTTTTATCATAAAGATTGAAAAATTTTTATTATTTGTTGTAATATTAAAAAGCTTATATTTATGTGATAAAATTTCAGAAATTGTTTTATTAAAAATATTCTTAAATTAGATGTAATAAGAAAAATGCAGTATGAAATTGCTAATTATAAAATTATTATATAATTTATAGCATATTAGAAAGAATAATATAAAATAATATAAAACAACGAAAAATATTTAATAATATTAAAACATATTTTATTATAAAATATATATAGCTTAAATTTAAAGATATAAAATATATAATTTTCGAAATTATTTTTATTGTAAATATATATAAATATTTATGAAATATATGTATAGTTGACAGAAGGATATTTATAGTAATAAATATGGGATAAAGCTAAAAACTGTATGTATATATGTATGTCGATTAAAAATATTATTATATGTCGATCAAGAATATTAATAAAATTATTAACAATTTTATGGAATGGAATCATGTATATATAGTATGTATATATATTTTTAATATATTAATTAATGATGTAATTAAGATTCTTTTGTTTGAATAATTATTAAACTATTAATTATGCAAAAAATTAATATTATGTAGCGGTTATTAACATTTCATTAACATAATAATAGAAATAAGAATTAATATGCATTTAAAATAAAATAAATATTGTATTATAAAAAATATTTATATTTTGCAAATAATGGCAAAATATATTTGTTCAAGATATAATAATTCTTTAATAAAAAGATTTTATTTAAAAAAATTATATATTTGCTTATATTATTTTTGTCTTTATTTCTTTTGTATTGCATCTTTTTATTATATAATATAATTAAATAATATATTAATATTTATATTATAATATTATTACGTTTGTTAAAATTAAAACACAATTCTTTTAAAAATATTCCATTAGAAAATGTTAAAAGTGTAAAATAATAATATAAATCTTATTGTAAAATTCAAAGATTAATTTTAAGTTAATTTTAATATTAATAACAATATTACAATTATAATATTTTCTAACATTATTAAATGTTATTAATATTATAAAGCTCATGTTGCATAGATATATCATATATTATGTGCTATATAACTGGTATATAACTTATGCAGTATTTTATAAAAATTGTATTTAACATATCATTATTATATATTATATTATATTAATTATATAAATAAAATTATATTAATTATATAATTATTATGTGAATGTAGTGATTTCAATGATAGTTTTATTTTTATTTGCCAATTTTTTGAAAATAATAAAAAAAAAATGGATAAAAATATCATGCATATATATATTGTATTAAAATGTGTAGAGAGTAATTTCCCCAAAGGTTTATTCAGCTTTATTTATACAATATAGAAATTTAATGACATGGGAGATCATAAAATGACAATGCGATCAGATGGAATTAAGGATTTGTATAAATCTGATTTGTTTGTACAATTCGCAAACAGAATAGTTGTAAATTATTCTTTTTTTTTAATTCTTAATAATATTCTTAATGATCTCCACTCGCCAAATACAGTATGTAAAGGCAGCCTACACCCATAATATAAATACAATTGTGTATGTAAATATTAATAAAGATTTGACTATTATAAATTGTCGTCGTAAACAGTATCTTTCTCGTTTTAATCTTATAATATATATTTCATTATTATTCTGTATATATATATGTATTTATATATATATATGTGAAATGTATATAAATACATATATCTGATATTTATATATGTATAATATTTATAGAAAATTATTCTAATTATATTAATATTAATATTAATATATACATACAAAGACAAATGTGAAATACCTAAACATTATTCGTCCCTTACATTATATAAAAATATGTTATATTTGTTATATTTTCGTTCGTATTTCAAACAATACTATTATTAATATTGTAGCAATACAACACATTGTGTTAAAATTATCCACATAGTCATATTAATTACTAGATATCTTTATCACTTTATATTACAATTTATTGTTAATATTTCATTTGAACGGATTGAAATTTAACATTTTTGGAGCAGTTTTCTGTACAGAACATTAAACAGTTCATAGAATAATATATATTATTCGATGTCTCTTTAACATATATTTTTTATTATTTAAATTGTTTTTTTTTATATAATTTATAATTTAAATGCAGATTAACTTTGCATTAAAAATTCCTGATTTTTATCATTGCAAGATATAAATATTTTGTTCAATTGTTTTGTTTGAATGTTTATTTCACATTTCACATCATTTATGTAAATATATTTTATCTCTTCCATATTGAATAATGTATAACACACTTATGACATTTTTTATTTATTTCTTTATCAAAATATGAAAATATTTATAAAGTTTGGCAAGTTAATAATTTTGAAAGTAATTTCATTGAGATAAAAAATTACATTTAATAATTTCTAAATTATATTCAATAATCATGGAATCATTATCAGTTATATGAAATATACTATAATATATTTATAACTGAAATAACTGCGCCGAAATGCATTCAATTTTTTTTTTTTTTGCAGAAAGGCATTATACTCTATGTATATAATATAATCACGGTGCGTAAAAAACGTACATGTACATACATGTATTCAGAATTAAAATTGTGTGTCTGTGTGTATGTATAAAATAATAAAAGAAAATTACAGAAAAATTATTTTAATTATACTATTGTAATAGTGTTCCCTTGAAGTTGAATAGGAAAAAAGTGACATTTAAAACATTTTATAATATAACTTTTTTTTATAGAAAAAAGATCGACTTATAATTATATTAATCCAAATAATAAATACATATTTTTTTATATTTAAATGTATATGTAGAATTTAATACTTTAAGTATTAAATCTAGATATTTTAAATGTTGTCTACTTTTTTTCTATTTCTGTCATTCATTGGTTTATTTATACTATATATTATATGTACATTCAATATTTTTTTTACGTTTGGTGATTATTTTCTTTTCTTAATCGTAAAGAAACATATAACTCAATGTGAGTCTTTGAAATATTTTTGATGAATTTCTTTGTTTATTTAAACATGTTGCAAAATATCCCGAATAATAAAGCAATGAATTTTCCTCGCAAATTCTTCGTAATATTTAAAATCGTAAATAATATTTCGTCTTAGCACCGCGTTTATCTTTATTTTTTGCAAAAGTACGATATTAGTATATGAAGAAAATAGAGTTTTTTTCTTATCAAACGTTTTTAATTTTTCGATAAATTCATTCTTTATGTTCAGGATCAGGTTTCGTTTTTGGTTCCATTGTCGTAGAACGAGGATGATGAGGATTCGTCTGATTCCTTGGCACTAACAATACATTTCCATCGGCAGATTGTTGAAGACTATATTCATACGGATGATATTGATTTCCATCAGGATCGCGCAAAGACTATAAATTAAATAATAGAAATGTTTAAAATTTTTTTCATGGATTGAGCATAATTAATTAAATATAATTATATTATGATATATATATATGTAATGAGATAATTAATAAAATATACCAACTTGAAACACATGACGATAAAGTTGACTAAATTTATCTTTCACGCGTTGTCTTTCTATAAGCATGAATTCTCGTTCACGAACGAGCCTCATTTTACGATCCCTCATTTCTTTTACTTCATCAGCGAGACTAATAATTTGATCTAGTTTACGCTTGCGACAATTTTGGGCGGCAACTTTATTCTTTCCCCGTCTTCTAATGTCACGTATCAAAGATAATTGAGCTTCACTGAGATCATATTTACTAAGACGTTCATTAAACTCATCCATTGGAAGATTAATAATATCGTTCACCGGAATAGGAACGTTCAATGCTCTTGCTCTTTTCTCATCTCTAGTTAGATGCTCTTCACCATCATTTTTACGTACTGAAGAAAAAAAATATTAATCAATTAAAAAAAAGAATTATATTGCACTAAAATAAAACAATGAATAATTATATTGTTATTTTATTATATTTTATTATAATATATAATACTTTACCTTTTTTATCACGAGAAACTGGACGCTGAAGAGATCCAGAACTTTCTGCAGGTAAATGATACGTATGATTATGATGAACATGTTCTATAGCTGAACGTCCTAAAAATATAGAAAAAAAAAAGATTATTATTATTTAATATTAAATATAATAATAAAATGTTATATGCATATCATGCATTTACCTGATTGATGCCGACTAAAATCTACACTACAACTATATTTTATTTCAGGTTGAGGTCCAGCTGCACCCTCGATCGGTCCAGAATAAGCATTTCCCGGTGCTCCAGCACCAACTGTATGAGAATCATATTCGTACTTCATTGGAGTTGTCGGATGTGCTGTAGCTCCGAGAGGCGAACCTACCACGTATACAATACATTTTTAAATTCATTAAATCTTTATCACATACTATATTGAGACATTCGATCGCTCGCGTTTAAAAACTAACCAGTTCCTTGTTCCTGAAAATATCGTTTTGCAAACATTTGATGCTTTTTCTGAGCAACCGGAGGCATCGTACGCTCCGTTTGACATCTTGGAGAACCAGCATTTCTTCCGGAAACGGAATAGCTACAATCGTACGACATGCGGTATTTGCTAAACATAAAACGAATAATATTATCGCATAAAAGAATCAATATTTGATAATTATTTTTTTTATGTATTTTTAATATTTTTTTGTTGAACATTTGTTAAAAAGAATTAAATTAATTTCATATTTAATATTTTCTCATTATTTTAATATTGATTTATTATTAAACCGAAAAATCGAAATAATTCGATTTTTTTCAATATAATTTAATCACCTAGCATAATCCATAGTATAATGAGAATCCGCTTGTGTATGGCTGGAATTAGATCCAGTTTCCATCCACTCGCCATCCGAAAGGGATGGTACACGTTCGCTGCCCATACTGCTGACAGCACTATCGCTCGATGCATCCATCCTTTCATCCGTTACACCCGGAAGTGTCGTAACTCCTGTTGCCGAAGAGGTTGTACCACCAGCTGTCTGAACTCCTGACAAGGCTGCTGCTCCCGTTGGACCAGAAGCGTTGTTATTACCATTATCTAGCATGCGCATGGTGTACATGCCTATAACATTTCATTTGAAAATTAATTAATATATTATTATTGTTACGATTAAATATGATAAAAGAAACAATTTTTTAAAATCAAGCAAAAAATCCTGACAAAAATATTGATGTGAATAAATATAAAAATAATTTTATAAAACGATTCATTATAAATATTTCATTTCATTTCATCTGCAGTTTTATTTATTTACAAATAAAAGCTTATATTGCGAATAAGTACAAAAATATTTGGTTTTGATTTAAAATTAGAATTTTATTTCCCTTTTAACAAACGTTTATTTTTATTCATTATTATATATACTTGAAATATTGTGAAATTAATTTTAAGAAATATTAAGAAAAGAAAAAAGAGAGCTTATTGCTTTATAAATTAATGTTACATATATATTTTTTAACCATACGATGGTAATATGTTATCTCGATTGAACGATATATTAAAGTTTTATAGATTTGACGTGTCTTTTGCATTTTTTTTTTTTTTATACTACACAATTTCAATAAAGTTCATTGGTATATCTTCAAATATTTATTTTTAGACTATATAATTATATGTTAATATAATATAATTAAATGCAAAAAAAAGAATTGCAAGATTAATAAACATTTCTATGTGGATAATTTGTTTAACTATCATAAATATAGATATTTTTATAATTATGAATTGTTTATATTAAATATGTTTCTATTAATTGATTTTTTTTTATACAAAATATAAACATTTTCGAATTTCGTTTGAAATGTTGTTCGAATACGTTTAACGATAAAAGAGAATCAAACAAGTAATATTTTTAAAATCTTTACAATATTCTATAATATAATGAGTTGAAAAATAATGTATATGCACGATTTTCATTAGCAAACAAAATAAAAATACGCGTACCGCAGAGGAAGGCTCAAGGTCCATTAGTCGCGTGGATTACTTGTTGATTAACCATGCCTATTTATACGTATTAGCTATATTTTAAGATTTATTAATTATTCAAGATAAAATATCATAACAAATTATGTAGAAAAATAAAGAAAACCATTATAAACAAGAATTATATTGATTTTACATGTTAATCTGGAATAAATTCATCTACATATGTAAATCAAAGATATCGAACAGGATACATCTGATCAAGAAATAAAAATATATGCATATAAAAATAAATACGAATGAAAATATTTGAATATAATCATCGTTATATTTTATTAAATATTCATATGTACACAGGCTAAAGACAATATTGTGATCGAAAAATAACATATTACGAAAAAAATATAAATTTGAAGAAAAATATCACTTTAGAACGTATGTCAAATATACGAGAAGAAGTTAATGTCGGAACGTTACTTTCAAAGATTAGGAACTCGGTCACACGAGCTTCGATAGAACGATCGTTGCGACGAACATTATAACTTGTAACGTCAGTTATAGCATAACGTTGGAATGCATACGAGCTATATCGGTCGAGCATCATGTCAGTACAACGACAAAAAATAATATATATATATATATATATATATATATAAATCTGAATTATTTTTTATCGTTAAAAAAGATTATAATTACTCATACTCAAATTTTGCATCGAATAAGAATTTTGATTAAATATAATATTGCAAATAGCTTGATATATTTTGACATTCTCAGAATAATTAATGTTTTTTTTTTTGTTCGATCGCTAATTTCTCTTTAATTTCAACTATAATCCGATTAATAAAAAATATCAAACGATGATTCATGATATATGAGAATAATTAAAAAAATTTAGTTTTTTTAATTTTCAATTTAATTGATCACAAAGTATAGATAGATGCATACTCATGTATTATTTATTATACGTTAGCACATCTTAATTTACGCTTTTTTTTCTTCATTTATAAGTTAAATCAAAATTCCCGTTTCTATATCTCTCGGAATAGTTTAGTGATGCAATATTTTTTTATAATTATGAAATTTTTTTTATATTCATCGTAACGTCTGTAGCATGAACACTCGTGTGACCGGGTTCTAAGATGCACTAGCACACTGATAATACGTTTCTTAGAATCATTCAGCACATTCAGCTGCCACAGAATCGTACGTGACTAAGATCAAGTTTCATTCGTTCTTATCAACTAATTTTGCGAAAGGAAATACAATGCTTTATTGCAATTTTTTTTCATTTCTCGGTATAATACTTGCTATATATTACATTTTATATTTTAAAATTATTAATTTTTAAAGACTTTCGTTTTTTTAGAAATATTAGTTTCTCAACAAATGTATTTATCACTTTATCGATACGAGAGAGAGAGAGAGAGAGAGACAGACAGACAGAGAGATAGAGATAGAGACAGAGAGACAGAGACAGAGACAGAGACAGACAGATAGACAGAGACAGACAGATATAAATATAATTTCTATATAAATTCTATTTCCAGAAATAATAATTTGACATTATCTATTACTATCGGAACGATAAAATTTTTTTGCGATTTTAATTAATCGTATTCATATACGCTCCATGATGTTTTTACAATTTACTCGATATTATTGTTGTTTTATTCATTCAGTTGTTATTATTTATAATTTTTCATTTATTATATTTATATTTTCATTATATTTATATTTTTTTATATCCAATAAGAAATTTTTTTATATTTTATTATATCCAATAAGAAATAAATTAATGTGACAAACAAATAAAATATAACATATAAATAAAAATATAACATATATGTATATATGTATATATGTATATATATATATATATATAAGCAAATTCACAGAGTAAATTGTTGAATCGCTGTGACTCAGCAGTTTTGATTTTAGCGATAAGTTATCAGACTTTCTTATTTACTCTTTAATAGAATATATACACGAGTAACGTAATATTATATAACGTTATTCTTATTGAAATAATTAATAATTCCTGTCTTACGCCGCTTAAATCAAACCCTATTCGAGTCTGATAGATTCAATCCTGGGTACAGAGTTAATCCAGAGTACATTTAGGTCGATGGCACATCAAACACGTGACGTACCATGCACATTGTGAACTATACCTAACTACTTACATATGTATATGTATATATACATATATGCACGAATTCCAAAGTTAACGCATTTATTACGTTTCTTTTCTCTTCCAAGTTGTGACAAATCAGCAAATTTATAGTATGTTATTTACATTTTTTTTTTTTTTTTTTAAATTTTTGATCGCAATTAGATCTAAATAATATAAAGAATCGATAAACGTACGATGTTCAAAACATCGAAATTGCAAATCACAGTAATTTACATAATTGATCTTTAATGTCAGACAAATAAAAAAAAACTGGCATAAAGTATAAAGTACGAAAATACCAGATATTCAATGATTGGATGAATCGAAATGCGTTTAAGTTTCATTCAGAAAAAAAATTACCTACTTGGTATATATACGATAACTCCCATAGTCGCCATTTAAGCTCCAGAAGAGCTTAATCCGAATCTTTTCTTCGATCGATCGATAGTTTCACCTTATTGTTAATAGTACATATAAACCGGTATTATATCTCGAGAATTTTCAAGGTACGGTAAACGGTACAATACGTGTAGGAGTGCATGTTCGAGAACGTCCAGCGTAAATGTATTTTCTCGTAGTAAGCAACTCTTTAGCACCTTTACTTTGCCAGATGTTCCTTTCTCTCTTTCACAACAATCTTCCACGGTATATTAAATTCACCTCCGTCGACGCATATTAATCACGTTCAAATAAACACAAATATACACTGTGTGTTCCTCTTTCTCGGACGATCACTTGGTCAAAAAAGCACAAATACAGTTTAAAAATCCTTGAGATTAACATTTAACCACGATCGCGATAGAATATTTGAACCTGTGATAATGATAGATTGGCATCGTTGGCGTCGCACTCGATATTAATAATACACAGTATGGAAATATCGTTAATCACGAATCGAATCGAATCGGAAATTGACGACGCGTTATAGTAGGTGAGGAAAAAAAAAAATTGAATATCAATGTAATACAAGAAGCGAAAGAAATTAGGTGAAACGGATTCCGTTTCATCGAATTATAATATTTATAGTTGGTCGAGTGGAAAACACGGGCGAGGATTCGTCGAATCGGACGATTTTTTGTTCTCGGAACGCATTACACCCGGTTAAACTCGGCACGATTAGCACAACATCGCGAGATACATAAGATAGGCATTCGATCGCGAACGCAGCGTAAACATTACTACGGTATGTAAGTACTCACTTAAGTTGGTGGCGCGTAGCCGAGAGGCTGACCCGGCGCGGGGCGTCACCACTCGCTTCAAGAGGCTGGTGACTAGCGTCACTTTTCACTTCGGTATTGGACGGACAACGACGGTGGGAGCGACGGCGTACGGCTACGTCGCGTGTCCACCGATTCGTCATACGACCAACTCGCCTTCCCTTCGACGATTCTTTCATCGATCACTACGAACTTACCGCATTTCGTATTAATCCGTTAAGTAATCTAACGCGTATCCGTGTGTCAAGGGACGATAACGAGATCGAACGTTACAATTTTGTCATTAACACTTACCGTCCGACGTCTGCCTCATTTTTCACGTAGATTACTTATCTATTTCGCGATAACGCTAATTAAATAATACAAATTAGATAAATTTGGGTCTAGCTTCATTTTTCATCCGAGCATCGTAATTGGCGGCTCGTATTACGAGAATTAAACGCGAAACCGATATCTTGTTATTCTATGAACGTCAATATTTGTATTATCGCGTAGGAAAATTCTATTGTTCGCGTATTGTTCGATTTATTTTCGTTATATCGAAATAGCATCGATCGCGGACAAGCAACACTTCAAAAACGAAAAACAAATTTACATTTCATTTTTGTTTTTAATGTTTATCGCTATCAAAGAAATAGTATAAAACTGACCTTGTTAAAAACAAACTTGTTTCAGCACGGTCTTGAACATGTATTATCGTTTATGCCGTTTCGCTATGATTGGACTTTAGAATTCTTTCTGATAAA